ATGAGGAAACATCACTGTGAAATTTTCAAATTAATATATTTCTTATTTTTCCATAATTCGATAATAGTCCCTATGAGAGAATATTTTCCCAAAATTTTAAATAAAAATTCTCATAGTGTTAAAAAAGTCGATCGAAGTATTATGTATCATAGTAAGGAGCGATAGCTTACTAGTTGAGGCTCTGAGCTGTTAATGTGAATGACTGGCGTTCGATACCTGACTTCGGATTGAAGTGCACTCAGCTTCAGATCGATTGTTGTCCTGGTAACAGCTTCTTTGGGAAGTAAAAGCGGTCGGTGCGCATTGTTGACCTCATTGTTACGACCATGGCCATCGGTAACAAAATTGTGGATCCTTAACCTTCATAACTCTTGGCTCTGACGGATTGTTACCGGGATCTTTGCGTTATGAATCATCATATCATTCAAATTTGCTGCAACCTTAATGTGGTGCTAATTTGAACCACATTATGGTGCTTCTTAATTTAGATTGCATAATGCTATGATTGAACTTGAATAAAACATGGTCTCAGACCGTTACCAATAGCCCATTATGCAGCGATAGTAGTAAAAATAAAATACGTTTATTAAGTACCTTCCAACCTACTTGAATAAAGCATGGTTCAACTTAGCATCTTATTAGGGATGCCGCAGATTTCGTCTTTTGTAAAAAACGCTCAAAAGAAATGGTAGCAAAAATGTTTTATTGTTAGACTTCGTTCTGTAGAAACCAGATAATTCTGCCTACTATAAAAAATTAATAATATAAATATTAATATTTCGTTCTGAAGTCAAAAGCTGAAGTGGTGGATTAACAGTAACATATATTCACTTGAGATAAAAATGTATTTATTACCATTTTCTTCATGTAGGTGCTCTGCATATATGAACCACTTTTTGAGACTGCATATTAATGGATTAAGTGTCCTTAATCGTCAATCGGATACCCCCCTTTAAGCTTGATGCCTGGGGCCGTTACCCCTTCATCCCCTTTCTGCACGCCACTGACACACGTATAAGGCACTACAATTCCATCAATTTATGGGCTATTCACTTGGAACGTGATTACCAATGTAGTTTTCGTTACTTGTAAGACTTTTTCGAATTTCACTGTTAAGCATTGAATTCTAAAGAATTTTCCGTTCAATAAATCACTAATTTGTTGAAAAAATATGCAAAGTAGTATTTTATTGCTGTTAAAATCAGGGTTTGAAAAAACCCGGGGATTTTTGAAAAAACCCAACCCACCTGGGTTTTATTGAAAAAACCCGGGGAAAATTGGGTTTTATTTGAAAAAACCCGGGGAAAATTGGGTTTTTTCATTTAGTGCTCATAAATTTTACTGTGAAAATATTTTTATTTATTAAATAGAGTTGCATAAGTAAACACTAAAATTTCATCTGACTTTTACCTGTAATAAAATTAAACTGAAATAAATATTTAATGGTCTTCCATGTTTTTATAATACGATTAACAGAAAGTGAAATTAAAATTACGCATAATTATAAAGAGTATCAGTTATTTGCCCCTTTTTTTCAAATATTTAGATAAATATATGCATTTTTAGATACATTTTAACTTTATAGTTTCAAAAGACAAATTAATCTTAAAATACATACACTAAAAAGCATATATAAAAAGTTATAGCTTATTTTTAAAATCAGAAAATAAAACTTTAAATTTGTTTATTGTTGTTTAATGTATCACTTAATAGAAATTTTTTTTTGTTTGCTTTCATTATTTTTAAACATGATTAAAAGAAACAAAATAAATTGTATTCAAATGAAATCTTAAAAATAATATTTAAAAAATCTTAAAAGTAATATTTTAATTTTTAACTGTTTTTTAATTGTGATAAACTTTCTCCAAATAGTTAAAAATTGTCAGCAGATGTTAAGAGTTAACTTAAAAAAAAAGGTCCAATTTTTTCCTTTATTATTATTATCATACAACAGATTCAAAGGGTCTACATTTCTCTCTTAGATGGTGATACACTTTTACGAGTTTTGTAGCTTTATCTATTCCTAATCTATTTCGAAGTTTACTCTGCACCAAACCGAAACTTGAAAAGTGTCTTTCGATAGAGACAGAGGATGCTGGTGCTGAGTTCAAATAAAAAAGAATTGACAGAAATTTTGTGGAAGCTAGGAATTTTATTTATTTATTTATTTATTTATTTTTTTTTTTTTTGCCATAATTTTCCACTATTTTTTGCACTCAAGCATCATTGATTTTGGAAAGTATTCAGGATCGGAAATTTTGAATGCCATAACACGTGGCAGAAATTCTGGATGATGCTTAGAAAGACAGTTTTCTGCTAATTGGTCTTGTTCATCATTTAAAAATTGTCCCCTTGTTTCGGGATCCAGGACGCATATGCTAATAAATGATGTGGCTGAACAGCCTGATTGAATCTTTTTACAAAATGTTTATGGGGTTCTAATTCATCACACGATAGTAAGTTAATTCATATTTCAACAGCTTCTGAAATTGAAATGTTTTCTGATTGAAGCTTTTTTAAAGCTTAAGAAACAATTGATATCTGTTTTTCCCAATTGATAGTTTATTGGTAAAGCCCAACATTATTTAATATTTTTGACATATTATTATTAGATTCATTTTGATGTTCAAGAACAATCTCTTCATATTTATGGTAATTATTGGCAAAAGTTTTTACGTGCTCATAATATGAATTCCACCTAGTGTCATTGGGTCATCAAGCAGTTTTTTTCATTTGCCCATCCATGTGCTTGATGCACATTTCTAAAATATTTGTTAACTTCAACGATGTGTCCAATGATAGTATTAGGAGCTACTTCTTTTTGAATCAAATTTAAAAAAACCAATTTGTAAAAAAACACCAAGTGGGTTTTTTCAAAGTGGGCCCACTTGGGGAACCCTGGTTATATGTATTTTATATTAAGTTTAAATAACGCATTATCACTACCTATTTGAATCTTCTTTATTGTTAAGTGCATTATGTTTCATAATTTTTTAAATTAGGAATTATAAAATATAAATGCAGTAATATAAAAGGAACAAGTTTATTAATCTTTTTGTTTTCACACACATTTATTTACTATATTTATTAAACATATGGATATTACCTATTATAAAATTATAATCTGTAAATATTTATAATCAGTAAAAACTAAAATTTCATCTGACTTGAGTTAAATAAAAAACTGAAATAAATATTTAATGGTCTTACATGTTTTTATAATAAGGTTAATAGAAAGTGAAATTAAAACTACGAATAATTATAAAGAGTATCAGTTACTTGTCCCATTTGTTTTCAAATAATTAACCCTAGGAAAATGATTTCATTTTTAGATAAATAATTTTAAAAAGTTCTCTTATAAAAAGTTTTATTTTTTTTTTTTAAAGCCAGAAAATAAAACTGTTTAAATTTGTTAATGTATCACTTGGTAAAAAAAGAAAAAAAAATTTCTTTTCAATTTTTTTAAACATATGAATTAATAATAATAACCTGTTTATTAATATATAAAGCATGCAACTATATTTGAAAAATTGATCTTTTCAGAGTATATTATTTAAATTTTTATTTGATTTAATATCATTAAAATATTACTTTTTGAAAAAACCCACTTGAAGTTTTCAATAGTAGATACCTACTATAAAATTACATGAAGATTCCAGTTTCTTTTACTTTACTAATATTAAAAACTTAATCATATAAATCTTGACAAATTTATGCTGCACTATAAATTATATAAAAGTAAATGCAAAACAATAAGTTTTAGTAAAAAAAATTTTTTTTTGTTGAAAAAACCCACTTATCGTTCCAAGTGGGTTTTTTCAAGGTGGGCCCACCCAATAAAACCCGGGCGGGTTTTTTCAAAGTGGGCCCACTTGGCGAACCCTGGTTAAAATGGAGGAAATGTATCGATTAAATTTATATGCAATTTACTTGGAATTTTCACAGACTACTTATGTAGTTTTTGTTACTCGTAAGACTTTTTCGAACTTTGTATTGATTGACCATTGTTAAACATTACATTCTGAAACATTTTTAGTTCAGTATATTACTCATTTGTTTTAAAAAATATGCAAAGTTGTTGTTTTTTTGTTGTTAAAATGGTATCTATCTGTATCTTTCACGATTAAAAAAAATAATAAGTCGTATATTTATTTCAAGAAAGTGGGCACTTTAATAGAAAAATATATCTTGAATGTAAACTTTAAATAACTAATTTTAGTAACATTTAGTTGTTTAATATTTCACAACATTCTCATTAATTTTCTGCTCTACACCCCTTACTTTTTTGGTGTTCTTACAATTTATCTTCCAGTAAATCTTCCTGGAGTACAGTGAAAAGAGGGCGGAGTTTATCTTTGCCAGAGACAGGTTGGCATTAATTATCTTGTCATTTTAAGGAAGAAATGATAAGTTACTTTAGCTGCCCTTTTAAGAATTCTATATTCGCGATGAAGAACTATATATATAACTCCCTTTTCATTTTTCAAAACGTTTTGCTTCTTTCATATTAATAAATAAATATAAAAAAAAACACCGGTTTTAAAGATGGTATCCAATTGGTACCGTTTTTTTTTTTGTTATATTTTTCTAATTATTAGACGGTTCTTCTTATGAGGATGCTTTATAAGACAAATTCTGTTTTACATCATTTGGCATTTTAAAATTTTAAGTTAAGCAAAAGTGAATTCAGGCAAACCATGCAGTTTCAAATGCTGAAGCAATGTTTTCAGAAAAGGAAAATGTAAAATTATTTCAAAAGTACTTCCTCTTAATGCTAAATAACCCTGCCATAATTTATTCACATTTTGATATTTTGAAAACACATTTTCAACATTTGAAACTTCTTAGTTTAATTGAACTCACTTTTTTATTGTTTAAAATTTTAAATTACTTATGTTAATGAAAGAGAATTTGCACTGAAGGATTTCTCTCGCGATGTAGCGTCCTTTTTAACTGTTTTATGAGACTCTTATTTTAGCTATTCCTTTTTTCCTTTTTAGAGCTTGAAGATGTTGTCGACATTTTTACCAGACCCAACGTCGAATCTTACACTGAGCTTCTATTTGACAGTGAAAGATACCAGATGATTGTCGGCGCTAGGTAGGTGACACAGGCTTGTTTTGATAGATATTATACATTTTAAGTTTATCCTATTATTTTACATTACATTTAACAAAATCTTTTAAAACCTTATTTGTAACTAATTATATTAATAGTAAATGACTTCTTATTTGTTTAGTATGGTTGATGTATGGATGTGGGATTGTGTGGATATGTATGGATTATATATATAAAATTCAAAATAAAATGATCAGAAAACAACAGAACAGAATGTAGCATTAATACAATGTGCAAAAATTAAACAAATATTTATTTTATTTGCATATAACATTTTAATTATTTGATAAAAAAAATAGATATTTCATTAAAATTAGTTTAAGATTTTTATTGGAAATTTATCTATTTTTCCCTATTACCCATTTTACTGTTTAATTAGCTTTTTGCTATTAATTAAATCAATTAACTAAACAGTGCTTTCTTCTATCATTGATATAGAGATTATTTGTTTCGATTAAATTTGGAGAGTCTCAGGGTGTTAGAAGAAACAAACTGGCCTGCTACACCAGAAAAGCTGAAGATGTGCATGCAAAAAGGCCAAACTGAGGTAAACTCAAACAACTTTATACAAATCTTGTTATTTATAGTGATAACTATATTTTAAAAACAAAATACATATATGTTTAACATTTGTTATCATTATTTTTGGAAAATTTTGATTTGTTAAGTAGATTTATACTTTTTATTATAGTATTTATAATAAAATGTTTAAAAGATAACTGTTTAAATGCACAGTTATTTTCAAATAACTTAACAAAAATAAGTACAGTAAGGGTACTTATTTTTGTTAACACACAATTCTTTAAATATTATATTAATTTTGAAACTCTAAAGCAAACTAAAATTGTAACATTTGATGGATTTTGTCTATTCTTTAAATATTATATTAATTTAAAAGCTTTAAAGCAAACCAAAATTGTAAAATTTGATGGATTTTGTCAATTTTCATAAGTAATAATTTAGTGCAGATTTTTGTGTTTTAAAGTATTTGAATTTAAAAATTATTTTAAAGCAATATTAATCAGTTTCAAAATTTGTTTTTCCTTGTTCAAAATGTAAGTTTAATGATATGTGAATTGATTTATATAATACAAAGCCTGTTGTGTTTTGTGGCTTGCATTATAAAGTTTTTCTGCTGTGTTGGGTAACATTAATTTTTACACTTTTGAAAATATATGTTATAAATTTTAAAGATATATATGTTTATTTAACAGCATTTTATTTATTTATTTGTTTGTTTGCTTACCACATAATTATTTTATTTTTAAGGATGATTGTCATAATTACATTCGCGTTCTATTGATGCAAGGAAACAGAATATTTGTATGTGGAACAAATGCATTTTCACCTTTATGTTCATGGAGAGATGTAAGTTCTAACTTCCTGACTTTTATTTACTAGAAACTAAATTAAATTACATTTCATTATTTAAATTTGCTCTTACTTGTTTTCCCATTAGTCATTAAAAAATTCATTGTTTACATTCACTAATGAGTGAGAAGGAATATTAACCTTCTAAGTGTTAGTCCTGGCTTTATCCAAATTTTCAGGTGCTGGCTTTTCTGCATAGCAAAAAACTGGCTTCTCCGTTTTATTATATGAGAATATATTGTATAGCAGGAAACTTGTATAGGAAATTTATAATTTACTTTGAATATATACTAGCTTTAAAATGTAATGAAGTCTTTTTTAGGTACTCATTTACTTTCCCTGTTTTTTTTTACAATTTTGCAATAGATGTATATCTACCGAGAATTTAGATATTTTATGTGAAAATACATAATTTCAAATGCAGAATTTAAAAATTACTATTTTTAAACAAATTAAACACGTACTATTTTTTCTTTTATTGGTTAGAATTCAATATAATATCAAATAAAAAGATATTTAAGTTATTAACTCTAAACTTAATAATTAACTCTAAACTTAAAATTAAATTTTAAGGTTAGGAGTTAGAAATTATATTTATTACACTACATGTCAATGACTATAAAAATTAGGCATAGATAACAATGAATTATACTTTTAAAAAAATTCTACTTTCCAGGTCACTGTAACATATGAGAAACACTTCATTGCTAATTCTTTTTCACCTACATAAATAGTTTAAGATATAGAAAAACGGAGTTCAGATAAACCTAGGGTAAACCCTGAAGTTTCAAATGTAGAAAACGAAAAATTTCGAAGTATCGTTTTGTCAGTATTTGTTGCATTTGCAAACAAATAAAGGCAGAATTACATAAGATCATGAATAGGGGAAATAATCCTACTAAAATTAGTAATAATAATAACATTTTGGAAAAAAATTTAAGCATTTGAAACTGCATGGTTTACTCTAAGTGTATATAAACTCATTTTTCTCTAAACTGTAAATTTCAAATTAACAATAGAGGGGAAACAGAATTTGCCATGAAAAATTTCTTTAGCGTTATTGTGTCTTCTTAAAGAGTTTTGATGAATATAATTTTTCATCAGTTTTTCGAAGTTATTGTTTACTTATTGTTGACACTTAGATTATTCAATTTTAAATACTGCTGTTGACTGCCAAACAACACATTATATGTAAACAAAAATTTCTGCATCTATAGGTCAATTCCCTAAGTTCTGTCCATGGATGGGAGGATGGTGTTGCCAAATGTCCCAGAAATCCTCACGCAAATAGTACTGCTTTACTTACAACGGAAGGAGATTATTATATTGCTTCAGCTCTGGATTTTACATCTCAAACCCATGCCATCTATAGAATAATGGGAAATCAACCATACCTACGCACAGTGCAATATGATCTCAAGTGGTTGAATGGTAATTGGGATTTATCACATTTTTATCATCAATTAAAAATGAACTGAAATAAAATCATTTATTTTCCATGTTTTTCTTTTAAAGTAAAGGCAGTTATTTTGTAAAACATTGTTAATTTCTGTTTCATTTGAATTGAAATCAAATAACTTATTTTCAATGTTTTTCTTTTACTGAGCAGTTCTTATATAATGTAGTTCATTTCTCTAGCATTTAAAAATGTATGCTGAATTCTCGGATAGTGATGAAAGTTACAGTTTTTCTTTCTTAAATTTGTAATTTCACAAAATGAATTACTTGGCTAAAGTCATGCAATAGGATAAAAAAAAATTGCAAAAATTATCTCTTTCGATAAGCTAAGACTATGTAAAAGTGTGTTAAGGCTGTAAAATTTGTATATTTTATTCTTAAAATATAATTTACGATATGATAAAATGTAAAATGTAAAGCCGTAATAGCTCAGTGGTTAAGGCACTTAAGGTCATTGTGAAAAACAAAGGTTCATTCCTCAGCATCGGAATGAACCCCCCCCCCCAGTTTGTCTGAGAAGTAAAGGTAGCATGTGCACAATGCTACAATCGTTGCGTTGTTACATTCGTGCTATTGGTCACAATTCTGGGTCCTTAACCACCGGGATTCCCTGACTCACAAAAATGTGAGAATATGTTTTTTGGAGGTACAATGTACTTTTCTTATACTAACAAAAAGCTTTAAAAAAGAAAGAAGAAAAAAAACGAAGGTTTGTAATGTTTGTTTCTTTCTATAAATGCCTTTCTCTGCAATATTAAGAAATAAGTAAAATCAATATAATATCTAAATGTTACATATATCTTATATTGCTTTAAAAATAATGTTTGATAGATCAATTTCAATCTGTTACTAAAATTTATCTAAAAATAGCAACGCTTACAACACTGGTTAGGCATTATTATTGTTCCAAGTAATGTTTTAAAGAAAATTGATTTTGTTTTTATTACTTCAACTATGTTATAGAGTAAAGTTTAAACGGAAATTTTAAAAATTTTTATTCATTTTTTTTTTCAGAACCCAGTTTTATTGCTGCATATGAAATTGGAAATTTCACCTATTTTTTCTTCAGAGAAATTGCTGTTGAGTACATTAACTGTGGAAAGGTATCAATCTTTTATTATATTAAAAAGAAAAAACTATAAACAATCTTAAAGTTGTAATTTGATTGTATTTGTAGTATTAATTTTATCATCCATATTTGTATTTATTTAACTTTATTGTTATCAGTTTAAAAAGTTTTACTAATTTAACTTTCCCAATTCTTCAATAATTCTTAGATTGAAATTAATTTCTTAGGTTACTTTTTATTTTAGAATTTTTTTTCTTTGTAAAATTTCATTAAATTAGATCTATACCTGTAAAAACTTCTTATTACATTATTTTTGTGTGTTCCTCTTATCAGTATTTACTGCAATTTTTGCTACTATTTTTTTTTCTCAATAAGCAAAGCATTTAGTAGTTATATTTACTTTCAAGATTTTGCTTATACAGGACTTCTATTTCTTCTGTCTCTTATGTTTTCCCATGGAGAATTATATGAATGCCAGTCTACTATATGAAGTCACCAAAATTTTGTTCGTGAATATTTTTGACACCATTAAAATAATTAATATTTCTAATTTTTTTAAAATTTTATTTTATTCATTGTAATCTGTTTTATCAAATTAACTTACTAAACTATTTTCAAAACTTTTTTTTAAACTCTTGGAATATGAACAGTTGTTTTGACTAAGTTTTTTAAATACTTTAAAAAATTTCAATTAGGTATCATAAAATACATTTCCCCAAATAAAATGAAACAAAAAAAAATAATTTAAAATATTTAATAGTGACTTAATAAGTAAGCAATTGGAATTCATACAGTATTTTGAGAGATGGGAAAATTGTAATTGGTTGTTACTTACCTTCTGTATTCTCTGCAGGACAGTTAATTTGTACTATTTGTTTGCATACTTATATAATTTAAAAGCATTCCCTTCTGATGCGTGAAAATTACTCTTGCAGGAATTTTTTATTTAAAAATTATTGAAATTAGTTTTTAAAGTTTTTGATTTTTTTTCTTCAGGTTATATATTCCAGAGTAGGAAGAATGTGTAAAAACGATAAAGGTGGCCAGTTTATTCTGAAAGATAATTGGACAACATTTCTTAAGGCCCGTTTAAATTGCTCTATCCCTGGACCATATCCTTTCTATTACAATGAAATTCAAAGTATTCACTTTGATGAAAGTCACCAAATCATGTATGCAACATTTACAACACCAGAGTAAGTTGATTTAACTCTTACATATCTAATCCAACTTTCTCATTACTTCTAGCATTGCTAATTCCTATGTTTTCTGTATTATGAGTTGCCCCCCAAAAAAAATTTTGACTTTTGAATTTGAAAATTTAAAATAAGCGAATATATGAATGTAAATATCAATTTTTTATGCATATCTTTTTTTCCCTTCTTTTTTAAGAAATTAAGTTTGCATGATATATTTTTTGATTTATTCCTTAATGAGAATAATGATGATTGATTTTCTCAGAAAGATTTAGTGCACGCTCTCATAAAATTTTCTGCAGTATGACATGAGACTTATTAATTTTTTATTATTATTTTTTTTTATTTTCGAAAAGGATCTTTTATCTAATGAAATCTTTTTAAATTAAGTTGTTTTGTCTTCTTGAAATTATATTTAATTATTGTGATTACTGTTATTTTGGAAACTAATTGCATATTCATAGTATACTCAAAGGGTTTTCCTTAAGTAAACAGAGCATTCTTAGATTATAAAAAACAGAGCTTCCATAACCCCAAAATAAAGTAATATTTCTTTCTTGTCTTCTTCTCCCCCCCCACCCCTCCGCGCTCAAACTTAGCTTGTAACACTTCTTGATTTATTTATCTAATGTATGTGATTGTTGGTAGCTGTATACTAGATTTCAGCTCTGGCGCCATAAAATTCTGAATTTAGTACAATTCAAATATTTGACTTTTTAAAAGACTGAGTTGTTATTTTCTATTAGAGATATGTTGAGTAAATAATTTATTTTATTTCATTACCTCAAATTCTTATTAATATTAAAGTCATATTATAAGAGTGATGTTACCCGTTTTTGTCAATAAAATTAACTATGTATATTTAACCATTTTACAGAAACAGTATTTATGGAAGTGCGATTTGTGCTTTCAATCTCTCGGCTTTGCATAAAGCTTTCAGTGGGCCTTTGAAATATCAAAGCACACCCAAATCATCATGGGAAAAACAAAGTGTTACTCATAACCATTTCCAGGTATGTAAAAATCAGATGTTTCTTGTATTCTTCATTTATAAAATGTTAATTTTGTTTGTTTCATTTTGAAATAAACTGTAATTAATAATAATGGCAATTATTTTTTTTACAAAATTAATAAATAATAGCTTTAAAAAGAATGTATATGCTTGCTTATCTAGTGTCAAAGTCCTGGAAGTGCAAACCATTTATTAGACTCTGAAAAATACCAGTTAGCTGATGATGCTGTCCAACCAATACATTCAAGACCTATCTATACAAAAGAACTTGAAAGGTAACTAACTGTAACTACCTTACCTTCTTCATTTAATATAATCAATAAAAATATCAAAATGAAATTTTCTTTAATTAGCAACTATTTTAGTTTTTGAAATTCACAGTAAGTTTATTTCAATAAACAATGTGCTATTGTTTGGAGAAAATATTATATTTTCTGCCAAAATAGTTGGATGGTAATATACATCTCGCTACCACTTGATCCGTTTTATCGAAATAAACTACTAAGAAGAATTTCGTCACACTCTGGCGTGGAATCAGCAGTGAAGGTGAGAACAAATGAGTGCATATTACATAAAGTCTTCAAGTTTTCTAATCAGTTAATCGTCCAACTGTTACTTCATTGAATGACAATTTAAGTAAAGTTATGCATTTTATACCCAGAGAATAGTGTTCTTTCATTTATTTCTCATAATGTAAAAAAAAAAAAAATACTGGTTCTAAATACCATAGGCTTTGAGCAAGAGTAGTGAATTTCTATTTGCTTTAATACCCAAAATTTTGTGACTTTTAATTGATTTTAACTCTTACATTAGAATTTTTTTGCAATTTTCTGTGTTGTATTTCAGCTTTGTCATGGTTAATATTATAAATTTGACTTAGTGCATATCCTCCAGCACTGTCAATATTCAAAATAAAACATTCTACATTGCAAATACTATTCAATTGAACTTTTTTAAAAGAGAATCCAACAGATTGCCTCTAAAAACTAGTTTCTAAGAACTATATTTAATTTTCTTAGTTTTCTAGCTTGGTAATTTCAAAATGTTTAGTTTAAGTTGTTCTATAATGACAAGATCTTCACCCTCGAATTTAGCTCTTGATTAAATCCTATTTTGCTTCTTTTTTTTTAATTTTTAGTGCACATAATAGAAAAATGAAATAAATATATATATATTTTTTGTAAATGACATATTTTTCAAATCTATTTCTTTTGTTTTTCAGTACAAGTAAAAAATGTTAATACTTCAGTCATTATGATTACTATTATTGTATTGTTTTATCATTATCATCACTTTTGCTGCAGTTCCATTATCCGCTTTTCTTTGTAGTTGAACTCTCTTTTGCTTTTCAGATTCACCTTTATTGTTGTTGATATAGTCCAAACAAAATATCACGATGAAATTCATGTCATTTATGTTGCCACTCTGGAAGGAGAATTAAAAAAGCTTATTAGAATGCCCAATAGCTCTGAAAGTTGCCTTATTGAGAAAATGCAACTTTTCCCTGAAGGTAGAAGACAGAAAATAAAAGTTATGAAGCTTCTAAAAGATACTGTAAGTTACAATAAAGTCCTTCATCACTTAAATACTCATAATAAAATACTATGAACTAAAAACTTTCTGAAATATTAAATGGTTAAGATAATAGTTTTTTTTTAAAAAAGATAATATAGTGTAAATGTTTTTTTGTTCTTTTTTAAAAGAATCTTCTTTTTCAGACAATACTGATCAAGTATGAGATTTATTCTTTGAATCTCGATTTTCCTCTTTTATTATCACTTTATTTTTTTCTAATTTTTTAATCATTCCCCCCCTTTTTTTGTTGCTATGTTTCGAATCGCATTGAAAAATAACTACATTGATGAAATTTTTTATCGTAAACTTTTGAAAATGCATAAAAATTAATCAAACAAAATTTCAAATCCATTAGTTGAGTAGAATTGAGGTCATATGTTGACAAATTATATTTTCCGTTTTGGTCTATTATATTAGGGGATCAGTCACTGATTAATTACTATAAAGTAATTTTCATCAATCAAACTATAGTCAGCTTTGCTATTAGAGTCTTTTATATTTGCACCAATAATTTTAATGCTGTACTATCTTATCAATCTTATTTCTAAAAAACTTTGTTTTCAAGATACCATTATTCCAACACTGATGCTTCAAAACAGACAATCTCTGTGCCTAAACAGACTCTATCCTCAGTGTTTGTTAAGTCAGACACTGAGAAATTACTTACTGTTAAGAATTAAATTACTTACTGTAAATTGTTAGCTAATGCTGCACACATCTTCTGAATTGTTTTTTACATCACATTCTTTTTTTTTTTTAAATTTATTTCACATTACATATTTTTTCTCTTCTGCAATTTCATGCCTGGGTAACTACTAAAAATTTTGTCATTATACATCTAAACTGATATAAATGATTTCTATTTCATAACTGGTTTAACTAGTTTTTGCCTATTCTTACTTTTCTTAACTTCATTATTATTTTATATTTAGAATTCCATTTACATAGGAACAGATGAGACTGTTATCAGAATCCCAATGCAGAGGTGTGAGCGATTCAGATCTAAATAGTAAGTAGTGTTGTGATGAATCTTTTACCACTTAAAATCCTTCAGGAAAATTCTAAGCTAAATAATAATGGGCGTCGCAGGTATCCAATTTTTAAGGGGGACGAAATTAAACTACATAGTCAAACTAGTTCTCTAAATTTCACTCAGAACAGAAAAAGTTTCTGAAATCTGCTAAGCATCTGTAAAAAGATTTAACTGGTTTTTACCTTTAATAAGTTAAAATCGATAACGATTGATGAACATTTCCCCTATTTGTATGAAATATTGAGAGGGACATATAGAGAACTTTAATTATAGAGGTGAACATACACCCATTATCTCCCTCAAATGACGCCCATGTAAATGTATATCTGCAAACTCTACTGGATTTTGCCAGTTTCTTCTGGTCTACTGGTTTAATAAAAATTCTCCCGCTTTTTGAACATTTTAGAAAATTCCCTAAAATTGAGTAAGTTTCCTTAAAAAATTCCTGTTGAAGTAGAATTTTATCCGGGTTATTGCTGGCTTGAATATTTAAATAAGTGTCACTAATACATAATAAAGTGAGCCTCATTTATAAAATTCAGTTAACTATCTTTGATGAATTTAACGCCTATTACTATTCAAAATTATGAATAAACATAATACATAAATAATATTTCAACATCATTCAATGTGAAATCATAACTAGAAAATATTGCAGTTTTTTTATTTTGATGACTATAAAAATCCCTAAAATTCCCTATGTGTAAAATATTTAGTATATTTTGCAACAATTATCTTAAAATTTATATTATTTCGTAAAATCTACTGTTTTTTTTCCTATCTGTGTTAGCGGCAATGTAAATGATGCTTTACAGAAAGGGCTTTCTTAAAGTATATTTCAGTTGTTTTATTATTTTCTTGTAAATTTAAATACTAGTATTATTCATTTGTATTGTGTTAAATTTTATTTTTATACAACAAAATTGTAATTGCAGTGATTGTATGAGCTCATTGGATCCATATTGTGGCTGGAACGATTATTCAATGGCTTGTGCAACCGCTCCAAATCGTAATCCACTAACCACTTTTTGGGAGCAAAAACCAATACGATGTCCAAAACCTAATGCTCCTGGTAAGTTATTACTTTATAATTAATTTTTATTCCAAGATATGATTTATTCAATGAAAAAATTTTTTTGGATTAGTTTTAAAATGTGTTCTTATTGTTTCCTCTAAAATGTTGAGTAACAAATTTACCTTAATTTACAGTAAGTGCATTGAACAAGAAATTTTTTTTTAATTCCAGACTGATATTGCCATGTTTAGTAAATAAAAAGTGAGTGAAATTACCCATAATAATGCATAACTCTGTAAAATACAAAGCCTCCCGTTTAAAGGTTAGCGTTATGAAAATCTGTTGTGTTAGACAATAATTTAATCTGTCATGTCAATAATGCAGTTTTTATTAGAAAAAAGATGTGTTGTAAACATGTTTTTAATATTTCTTTTCATTTTTTTTCAACTTAATGAATTATAAAGTATTAATTTATTCTTTTTTTTTAATAGTGGATGGTGGCTGGGGAAAATGGTCTTCTTGGTTGCCTTGTTCTAATTTAAAAAGAGGATCTTTTGATGAAGGCTGTCTTTGTCAAAAAAGAATGTGTAATAAACCTGCACCAGCAAATGGTGGAAGTCCATGTGAAGGAGTTGAAATACAAGTTACAAATTGCACTGGTATGTGTATAAAATATGACGTGATTTGACATTGCTTTTTTTGTATTTAAGTTTTATTTTTCCATAATATATTATTAAGAATAATCCAGACCAATAGAAAAACATAATGTTTGTGGCATAGATATGCAATCTTGCTATCTTCTAAAAATATTTTTTTCAGAATAAGATTTTTTAGTCCAATTTATGTATATATTTTTAAAAAAGAATTAATAATTCTCAAATTTTTTGTTAATAAATGAATTTTTTTTATTTATTACGTAGTAAAATAGAATTTCACTCTATCTCCTTTAAAAACATCTACATATATTACAATTTTCCATAAATATTTAATTTATTGAAGGGAAGTATCAAAATAATAAGTTATAAATATTAAAATTACTAATAAGTATTAATAATTATTATTTTAGTTCATGGTCAATGGACTGAATGGTCTGCATGGTCAGCTTGTTCTCAAAGTTGTGGCACTGCTGTTAAAGTACGTCGTAGAACATGCGGTAATCCTGCCCCACAGCATGGTGGTCATAATTGTATTGGACCTGATACTGATGAAATGTTCTGTTCCACTAATCAACCTTGTCCAGGTATATAACATTAAGTTTTCAAAACAATGAGAGTTAATTCCATTACAGTACAATTTTATACTATCCACCATATTTTCTATGTCATTTTATATTTGAGTATAATTTGCCATCAGTAAGAAGATTTAAAAATTTACTGTAAAGTATGAGAAACATTAAGTTTCACATATTTAATTGCATAACTATTTACACGTAGCTAGAATGAGCTTGGAATGTAGTGAAGCTATTATTCATTTAGCAATATATTCATATTATACATTCATAGTTTAAGATTGAGGGCATATTAATAAAGTGGAGAACATGTATAAATATTTTTTTGTTTTTCATATAGAAGTTTATAATGAGATTTCTATTGTTTTCATCATGTTCGAAGGAGGGAAAAATCTCAACAATTCTTTTTTAATAAATTGAGAATACTGCATTACCTGCAACTTTTTGTTCTTTAATTTTTATTTTACTGACCTTGAAGTATATGGGTAACATAAAAAAAATTTACAAAAGGAAAAAACAAGTGAATTTACCTAATTTTATTATTATTCACACATTAGCAGTTATATTGTAAAAACTTCCTTTAAAAATTTCTTAAGAGTTTTTTCTTCTTCTTGTTATGGATCTAGATATATAAATAATCCATTGTGATATATTTTATACATGCTGGGCAAAATGAATAAATTTCAGGCATAAAATTTTTTTTGCAATCTTTACATATTTGAATGTTATTATAGTTGATGGGACATGTTTTCTTTTATTTACTTATTTTCATAATATAATATACAGTAGGGGACCATTGCTATTCTGGATAACTGATTTTTCCGGTTTTCTGAATCACTACAAAAAGCCGTTTTTTTAATTGTTAAGCCCAACAAAAAAAAAAAAAAAATTGGAAATAATCTTAAAAAGAAGAAAAAACGACGAAGTAATACACTAATGATTATATCCAAAATGATGGTAAGATAAACATCTTTCAAAAAAGAAAGAAAAATCCTAAAATCTTATGAGAAAAAATAAATTTTTTTTTTTTTAAATGGTGGGAAAATTTATAGAATTCCGTTCCGGTTTTCTGATTTCCGGATAATGGGTTCTGTACTGTACTTGCTAAAATCCTCACACTCTTTTATAACAATTTTAATTTTAGATACATAACTATTACATATTTATGCCATGTCTGAATACTTATAATTTAGTATTTAAACACTTTATATTTTCAGCATTTTCAAGATTACCTTTAGATGGTCATTGGTCTGAATGGACATCTTGGAGCGAATGCAGTGCATTTTGTGGTAGCGGCATCCAAACAAGGGAAAGACGCTGCAATGATCCTGCTCCCCAATATGGAGGAAAAGAATGCATAGGCTGCCCTCAAGACTTTAGAATCTGCAATAACCATATGTGCCCAGAACATCGAAAATCTTCACCCTGGTCACCCTGGCTTTTGGTGAATACTACAAAAGATGGTTACTTCCAACAAAGATATCGATCAACGTGTCGTGCCAATGTGCCAGACATTAATGACATCAGAATGGGGCATTTAAAGAAAGAAGAAAGATTTTGTCTTGAAGGAAGCAACAGCTGTTTAGATTCGGGTATGCCCAGACTTTTGAAATGTTTTGTTTATTTGGCAGCTAATTAGTTACTAACTCAAATCAATCGTAAATTATAATGGTTTTGATTTGCTAAGATGTGTTAATGGCCCCTCAAATATCTCCCAGATAGCAGACAACCTTACAGGCAAACATTTACAGTTATATTTTGTTCTATTTTTAGCATTTATCAACATTGATGGTGGTTGGTCAGAATGGGGGACATGGTCTATCTGCTCTGTGACTTGTGGATCTGGAGTACAATACAGAGAAAGAACTTGTGACAATCCTTCTGTATCTGGTAATGGTGCTGACTGTAAAGGCCCATCAAGATCAGAAAAGAAATGTGAAAATCCAGCTTGTGATGGTATTATATAATTATAATTTTTATAAATTTTGAAAAAATAAATTAGAAAAAGGGTTAATGTGTCAATAAATCAGAGATTATTTAAGCAATAAAAGCACAGAGAAAATTTATATCACATTTCATCAAATTAATTTAAAAATAGTGCTGTATTGGTTTGCATATGGTTTGAAATTAATGATACACCAATGATACAACATTAGAAATTGTCCAGAAGATTGATTTTTGGGGGGAAACGCTATGATTTCCATCAACAATAGAGTAGATTCTGTATAATGTGCTGTTTGATACAAAATTTCAGTTTAAAAGAAAAGAAAAAAAACGTAACTTATAAAAGTATTAGTTGATATGTGTACTTAGTTGCTAACTTTTTATCATTGATATTTTTTATCATTTATTGATATTTTTTATCATTTATTGATATTTTTTATCATTTATTTATATTTTTTATCATTTATTGATTTTTCTTATCATTTATTTTAAAAGTAATTTCTTTTAATGTACTAATGTAAAATTTTTACAGAATTGTTTTAAGCTAATATTATTATTAAGAAATTTTTGTGAGAATGCAAAATGCAACAATTTTATTTTAAATTAGCTTACTTTTCGATGTAATTTAGAAAACTCTGATATTTTGACTCATACTTCTGCTATTGCCTGTAAATTATGAAACTCTTCTGTGTTAACCCTCTTACAATCTTGCACATAAAAAGTCATACTGCAATTTGCACTTATTTTGAAATTGCAAACTAGTTTTCCTTGTTTTATTAGATAAAAAAATTTGTGCTTAACTAAGCAAATTTACCTGAAATTTTTCCTTCTTCTAAAGTATCACAAGTTTAAACATATGTCATTGTGTAATTTTAGTTATTTAAATTTTGCATTGAATTTTAACTTAACTAAATAATTAATTTAAATTTTTTTTCTTCTTTGTATTATAGTTTCTGAAGGTTGGGATGAATGGACTGTTTGGTCACTTTGTGATTACCAAAATATGCAACACAGACAACGTAGATGTAATGCAGATGTCCCAAGCTCAAAGTTCTGCTCTGGACCTAGTCGTGAGTTGCGTCTTTGTGTGGACACAGCTTACAGTGGTAAGTGGCCTTATTTTCCATTAAAATTAGGAGAGCTTAATAGATTTCGTATTAACACATGCAATAAAATTTCCTACTTAAAAAATGTTAAAGTTTAAAAGTTACTTCTTTGTGAAAGTTCATAGGTGGGTGGGATTTTCAAAATTTTATTTACTGTGAAGAGTTGGCTATAAACTTGATCATCTGTTTTTATAAATAACAGAAATAAAGATTTCTGTGTTTATAACTACAAATAAACTTGATGAGAAATAGTCGCATGAATGCATAATGCAAAAGAGAAAATAGATCCCTAGTGTAAGCATCTCTTATTGATCCCACTTTTACCTGTACTTTTACCCACATTTATGCGAACAAATTCTTTTGATTGGTTATCAGCAGATAACTACAAAAGTTTTACACGGGAAAATAGCTTCTGATTGAGATTTAAAAATTAAGTTGGGGACACATATATCACTGTCTTATATAGGGTTGAGGAATAAATTATAAAATTTTTTATTTTATTTTAGTGAGCAATCAAGCTGAGGAAGCTCAGAGTACCGAGGAGGATGGAGTTCACATGGAGCATGTTATTTTAGCTTTGTTCTGTGGAATCCTTGTTGGGCTTGCATCTGGAGCTATTGGAATGTATCTTTTCAAGCAGAAAAAAATTCATGATCTACCTCATCTCACACCAAGAACTGCTGATGCTAACCTTTACATGTCAAATACAGAGTGGAAAGCAACGAGACCCCTTAATGATTCGACTTTAAAAACGCCCCAAAAAGAAGCCACAATCAAAAGAAACTGCAATGGGACTTTGACGAGGAACTTAAGAACTCCTTTATATTCAGAAGAAAGTTTTCGTACCTGAGTTACTGTAGCTTATGAGGGTTTTTTCAAAGACTGAACGTAGCATGAGACTTTGAAACTACTAAATGCCAGGTCGAAGGCAAGGCTAGTCGCATTTTCGAGTCAATTTCGTGTGATCTGAAGATGTGCCATTCGGTTCAAAGAATCCAGTTTACTTGTTATTTTTGTTTTTGTTTGTTGAAAGTGAAGACTTTATAAGACTGTTTTTCTGTTATTTTACCCCAACATCACATGTTTCTTTTTTAATTAAAGGAATTTTCAATCTCCCACTGTTTTTCCAAAACAGAAGTTGATCTTTTGTTAGTGCAGCTGAATGGGATGGACTATATGAGTATAGCTCAACTAGCAATTTTCATTGTGTCTGAAAAAATGTTTTCATAATGGGCCTATTCATTATTTTATCACCTTGTGTTGGATGATTATTATTTGAATGAGTGGAACAAATTTATTTTTAAATATGTCTGAGAAGCTATTTTGCTTCTATTCTATATTGTCTCATAGAAGTTTTCATGTGAAAAAATATCATATCTTATCTTTTCCTTCATATCATCATCTCAGTATGTAATTACTCTGTATAGAGACTATTTAATGAGATAGATAATTTTGAGGGTTTCATCTTTGGATCCCTAGTGATTTAAATTAGGTGTTATGTTGAAGATATGGAAGAATTATGATATGAGTGCCTCAGCCAGAGTAGATTGAGTTTGAAATAAGTTGTACCCACACAAAAAATTTTAGAACAAAAATAAGAAACTTTGAAAATACCAATGAAAAATTTTATTTATTTTTTATTTTCCTTTCGAGGAAACTTATAATTTAATTATATTTTTATTATCTTCACTCATTTGTGCTATAAGTCAACTAATAGGGAAACACATGTTATTTAACATCCTCATTTCCATAGAAGTTTATTGTTTTCATTCCCATTTCTTATGTACATACATTGAACCATTGTTATCTTGTAAATATCATTCTGCATAAAGAAAGTTACAAATTCCCTGTTTAATGAAAATCTTGTCACTGTCTTGTTTAGTGTGTGCATGACTTTTTTTTTGCCAAAATTGTATTTCCATACAGTGATATGTAAATAGCTTACCACTGATTGTACACAACAATAAAAAAATTATTAAATTTTTTTTTATTCGCTTAATCAAGAGCAGTAAATAAGCATTTTCTTATTACTGTAAAAAGGAAGCATCATTTGTTAAAAGGAAGGAAGGTCCTTGGAAATAAATTATTTCAAGACGTTGAATAAATTAGAAAATTTATTTTCACGATTATTATATTTTTATTTCAAAAATTTATATTACAAAGAACGGCTTGTTTCAAGTCGATGTCTTAAAATCAAAGAAAATTAAGTTTTTGTGATATACATATTATGGAACAAGCTTATTTGAAAAAAAAATTAAAAACTTTAAAATGGTTATTGTCATTTGTTGGTTATAAAAAGAGAAAAAATACTAATAGCAAAAAATACTTTTTATAACAGTGTGTGTTTTTATTGCAATGTATATTACCTTTAAACATGAAAAGTTAGTAAAATATTTTTAAATATTAGTACTACATTCATGATTCATGGTAGTTTACGCAAACATTTATTCATTTGCAATATCATATAAATAGTTTTTTTAGAGCTTACTTTACCATCCTTATCTTTACATTATTAAAGTTTATCTATGAAGCTGTGTATTTATGTGATTATATTTGCTCAAGTTGTTTTAATTTTTGTAAAAAGAAAAAAGCAGCATATTCATAATTTCTGTGAAAAGTAAAGTTATTCTTTTAATACATGTTTAAACAGGGTTTTCATAGTCATTCTTAAATTAATAATCTTTTACTCATTTTACATGAAAAACCGTTATTTACATTTTTGAAAACAATATTTAAATATTGATCTGATAATTTAAAAGTCAACCTTTATTTTTAGTATTATTACTGCTATTTAAATTATGTTGTTGTCATGCTATGTTAATCTTTATGAAGTTATAATTTTTGAATAATATTTTCTTCTTCTTTTTATTAGTATTCTTTTGAAAGTTAAGTATATTTTCTTTATTTGCTTTCTTAGCTTTATGCATAAAAGTACTTACCAAATTAAAGAATTAATGTCTTAAAATATTCATCAATCATAGTAAGACTTATATGTCATTCCTCATGGTCCATGTTAACATTAAATGTACAAATAGTTCAAGAATTTTTTTTTAAAAAACTTCTATTTTTACTCTGAATACACAGATTTACTAACCTTAATAAAAATAACCCCCTCCACTTCTATGCTTTGATATTTGCCAGAAATTTAAAATGTTTTCTCACTACATTTCAAATTTCTTATTCAAAAAATTAAAAATCTTAAAGTTATCAACAAACAACATGAAATCAATTAATATGTTTTATTATCTAAATCTCTTATTATTTAAATGTAAATAAAGAGTATAAACAATTGAAATTAATTCAATTTAAATTATGTTGCAAATCTTTAAACTAAATAGAATGTCTCTAATTTAAAATTTGATATAATTCCATAACACGTGTGAATAATTACGAAAAAAAAATAAAGCATTCTGCATTTAACTTTAAAAAAAAGCTGATTTTTTTTAAAAATAAAAAAAAAATGGTAAGGCGTTTTGCTTGTTGACTTAATTAAAATAATACATAGTTTTTTTTAAATTAAAATACTTCATATTTTATGCAAGGAAAATATGCTGTTGCAATTTTACATTTATTAATTTTTTTCAGTATTTGATAAAAATTTGATTTCGTTTTTATTAAATAGTTTGACATTTTTTTGTATTTTTTAAATGTAAATTTTATTAAAACATTTTAAACAAGTCTTTTTTATATCTTGAAAACACATAAAAATGCAGTATATATTTAAATAAAATAAACACAATTACAAGCTTTAGTTCTTGCTATTACCTTTCATACTTTAGTTCTTTTTTCATATTTCTTTGTCAAATTCAGCATAAATAATAAAAATTGAATTATTTTATTATTGTTGTTTTAAAACAGAGGATTTGATTTTTAACAAACTTTTAAAATGTTACTTCTTAATGTTTATAACTTTGTTGAAGCCAAATGTGCCTTTCATTTTTATTTTGAACAAATGTATATTTGTATATTTTATGTTTTTAATAAAACTGTTTAATTGACAATGAGTTCTGAGTTATTGAAAAAAAGATTGCTTATTTTTTCCGTAAGGGATCGGGCAAATCAAATAACTAAAAGTTTTAAGATATTGATTTTTTAAATATACATTTATAAATTTAAGTTTGAAACAATAGTTGGCTTTTTTAATGATAATACAACAATTGAAAATTATTTTCTGATTTTCAACTAATTTATACAAAAAAAATTTCTAAAACAGTATTAATCTTCTAGGAATCTTAAAACAATTGCATTTTCTGATCTACTTTTTTGTTTAAAAAAAAGAAACACGAGGCATTAAAATAACCTATAACTAATAGTTTTCTTTTTTCCGCATCAAATTTAAACAAGCAATCAAATTTTCTTGTTAACAGGCAATTAAAAATCATGTTTTAACAAATTACTCCTAATGCATATTGAATAATAACTGAGTAACATTCAGAGTTAAAAAAAAAACATTGAAAGAAAAGTATCCAAGATAATTTATAAACTTATTTACGTTTATGAATTATTTTGCTTTATAATTATATTATTATTTATGAATTTTTCAAAGGCTCGCATGAAATGATACTTTTTTTTCGAATAATATGCTATTTTCTTTATTATTGTGAGTTTACGACAGTTACTCATGACTAATAGGCCAAGTTAAGCCTATCTTTAGCCAGCGCCATTTATTCTGAAAATGGCTCTTAACGTCAACATTTTCTCAGTTTTGGGAAAATGAAAAAGCATTTAGGGTCTAATTTTTTAATATTTAAAAACTTACATCAATGCTGCATTATCTGGGTTCATAAAAATTTGCAAAAAAAGAATAAGGCATTGATTTTTTTAATTTTCATTTGGGTGGAAAAATAATTGACGATTTTAAAAAAAGTTTAGTGATTTAAAAAATATTTAAATTATTTGTCTGTTTAAAAGTTCAGATAATTCTTCACGGCATATATAGTCTAAAAGGGTCGCATTCATTTCATCGACAATCACTTCATCGACACACCATTTCATCGACATCACTTCATCGACAGGCCGTTTCATCGA